TGGCCGCGGTGCTGCTGAAGGCGCGGCTGGTCCCCGCGGCCGCCAGAGCCGAGCTTAGCCGCTCCGACCTCAGTCTCATCCAGCAGCAGCAGCAGCAAAAGCAGCGGGAGGAGGCTGAGGAGGAGAGACTAGAGGGGCCTGGAGCATCCTCCACCTTGGCAGTTCCAGGTAGGTCCCGGCAGCCCGGCCCTGCCTCTTCATCTCGGCCGGCGATCTTATTTGGCTTCGCTGGTTTCCTCGCCCCTTCCTTAGCCTCAGCCCATTCCTACCCATCCCCACCCCTCACGATCTGCCCAGGCTGCCTGCCCAGCGTTTGGGCTCCTGCTCGGGTGTCGTGAATCTGTCCTATGGGTGATAAGCTTTCTGGGAAGCGCCGAGCACTGCAGTGGGTTGGAGAGGGGTCGGGTGGGGTGGGGGTGGGCGACTGCCTGAATGATCTTTTTCTTCTCCCTCCGTTTTTCCTGAATTCTTCCCCCTGCNACACACACACACACACACACACGCACACTCACACTCCTCAAATCCCTTTAGCATTTTGTTCTCTATCCTTTTCTCTCCTAGAGAACGAGAAATGTTGCCATAGACACCCACTCATCTTTTTTTTAATACCATTTCTCCCCGTATGCTGTATTTAAATTTAGACACGGAGAAAGAAATCTTGATTTATTTCGTTATTTCTATCTCTTCTTATCCCAGGAAGGGTTTAAGGCAGTTTGCAAAGAATGTCTGCTGTACAATCAGGTGAAGCAAAGCAAAATGAAATAGGAGTTTGTAATTGAAGGAAAGGGAAAAGGAGAGGGGGGACAGGAAAGATAAAGTCTGGAGTGATTTAGTACACCGAAAGCCTGCTCCCAGAGAGGGAAATCTCCTTGTTAGAACTTAAACGAGGTAGATTCTTGACACTCTTGGGTGAAGGTGAAGAAAAACTGCTGTAGTTTATATGGTTGTAACTGTCCCCTCCCCCTTCTTTAAAGCTCCACCGGTAAACAAAAAGCTGGATTATCCTTTGAAATAGCCTCACCCAACCCCCCAACCCAGTTCCCTTCCTTGCTGTAGATGCTGCCTGCTATTTGGAAAGGAAAAAAACAAAAAACAAACAAAAAAAAATCAGTTTTCTGACAAGTGGGCTTAGGCTTTGCAAAACCAAAGCCAATTATATTATAATGTTTGTTGTTGTTTTAAAATCCTGCCTAGTAATATTATACAAGATGCTGAAAATGAGTTAAAGAGTGGAATCGGCATCTTATTTTGTATTGCTTGCTCATCATCAAAGAGCAGTACTCAGGCATGCCAGCTGCAATTCATGACACAGCCAAGATGATTTAATTTATTAGAATGCTCGGAGCATAGGATGAAATCACCAAAGTGGAGTGCAGGAAAGCATGTGTTTGTGACACCCTGTTAAGCCAATTAATAGCACTCAAGTGTGCCTAAAGGTCCTGAAAGGTATGCAGTGTGTGGTGGTTTTCCTGCCCAGCTTTTAATAACTGAAAGTGATAACAGCATGGTTTGGGCGAGGCTGCTGTTATTCATGCTATTCACTAAACTTAAGGAAATTGGAGATGGAAGAGTGATTGAGTGTCTTCATTACAGAGAGATTTCATAAATTAACTATGAAATAGAAGTCTGGGAGAGTGTTGATGCGTTTTATGGTTTGCAGTATATTTTTATTTTGATCTCCCTTTCAGGAATATTTGTTAATTGGATTTTGACTACTACAATGTACATATGTTGTGATGAGCATTATGAAAAACTTCAATAATATTGAAGTATCTAGCATGCAAATTAAAATATTTGTTTTCTGGGCCGGCCCGGTGGCGCACTCGGTAGAGTGCGGCGCTTGGGAATGCGGCGGCACTCCCGCGGAGGGTTCGGATCCCATATAGAGACCGGTCCCCTCACTGGTTGAGTGTGGTGGGGGCGTGACACCGAGGGTTGTGATCCCGTTACCGGTCACGAAAAAAGACAAAAAAAAGGAAAATATATATATATATATATATATATATATATATTTGTTTTCTGATATTTGTGAGAGAATGTTTTGGAAAAGATGATTGTTTAGAAAACTAGCAGTTTTTGTCTTATTTATCTATTAGATTAACTGAGATAAAGGAACCACTATCTAATAGATCAAACTAGAGCCTGAAAAATAGCATAAGGCGATTCTTGCTTCTTTCTCAAAAACTTTAACCTCCCAAGCAAGTGGCAAACAAGACAGCAATTCAGTTGACTGCTGTTTTAGTTATTGGAATATCTAGCTGTAAGTGAAATACAGCCTATAACCAAATGAAGTTAAAATATTCTTCTGAATGCATTGTGATCTCTACATTGAACTGGTCGTCTTGGTTGTTTCCTGCAGTCTATTCTCCTCACACAACTAGTGATCTTATTAAAAATATTAAGTAGGATCATTTCTGCTCGCAGTCCCACAGTGGCTTCCCATTTGTCTCACACTAGATGCCCAGATCCTGAAAACGGCCTACAAAGGTCTAAGTCCTTTGTTTCTCCCTGTCTTCTCCTACAGCTCTTACCCTAACTCACTCCATGCTAGCTACACTGGCTCTCTATTTATTCAGATTGCAAGTGGGCTGAGGTGACAGGCCTTTGCACTTGCTAATTTCTCTGTTTGGAATTCTGGAACTTCAGATTTTTCACGATTGCTTGAATGTCACTGTAACTGGGAGGCCTTTCTTGACCAGCTGTATTAAATAGGAATCTGCCCACCCGTTCGCTCTTACCCCAATTTATTCTCCTCCGTGGCACTATTATTCTCAGCCCCTCTTATAAGCCTCTCTCCCCTTACTAGAATGTAAGCTCTATGAGGGCATGAACTTTGTTGTTCACAGCTATATTTCTAGTACCTAGAAGAGCACCTGGTACCTGTAGACATTCAACCATTTGTTGGATGGATGAATGAATGAATGAATGAATGAATATGCTGGCATCAAGGATCACTTTCAATTTCTGAGTATTTTCTTTTCAATATCTTGTGAAATTCTTCATTGAAATTTAGCAGTGGATGTATAAAAATAATGTTATGTAGGAAGATTTGTAAATAGAGGTTATAAAGTATGCAAATTTTTGATCTTTAATTTTAGCTAATTTCAGTGTTTATCTTATGCTGATTATAGAAAACTGATTGATACTGATACTTAAACCCACTTATTAAGTTCTGTAAAGAAGATTCTTTACCCAAGAGTACTGAAAATCCTCTTCTGACCTAGGAGGGTATTAACATATCATACCTTTAAGTAGCTGTGATTGAACCTGAGTTTATTCTTTGCCTCTACATGGTATTTCCCATTCTTTGGACATATTGTGTGAGAAATTACAGAACTTTTCTCAGGAAAAATTTATAAAACTACTGAGACATATTTAATGGATGGTACGCGACTGAGCCTTACCAGCCCATGGAAGAGAAATTAACCATTGACCTTCGTTAGTAGTCTCTGGATTTTATTATTCTGAAAGTTTATGTCTCTTTATATTGCTGAGAAATAAGAAAATGAGGTTAAAGAAACCTTGAGCATGAGATTTTTTTAAAAGTACATTTCCATTTTTCATTTACTTACAATAAGATCATCTTCAGAGAGTAGTGAGAATAAAGAAAGACTAAGATTGGGATCTGTCAAATCAGTTGTTTTCTACAGTGTATGTGGCAGCTCTGATTTCTCCATCTGTTCCAGTATTTGCTAGAAATAAATATTTGAGGGGCCCGAGAAGAATTAATGTGGGGGCTGGTGGTAGCTGAGATAACCATATCATATTCACTCTGATGGCCCATTAGTTGGAGGCATGCTGAGGGTGGGGTTGAAGGGAGCTGGAGAAAATAATGAGCTCCGTTTAACATTCTCCATGTGAAGCACAGACACAAAGGATCTCCATGGATCTTTAGAAATGTCTTTTGCATACAGAGAAAGCTTCTTATATTTTTATGGTATGAAAATTTTTGATTGTATATTTCAGTGATGTATATTTTTTACTTTTTAATTTTGTAAAATGTCAAGTATATAGAAAATAGAATAGTGTAGTAAAAGCCTACACCCATCACCCAGCTTCAACAGTGATCAAAGTTCTGACATTGTTTTACCCACACCTCTACCTGTTTCCACTACATGGGATTTTTTTTAATAGGTCTTTTTTTGAGGTAAAATGTACATACTGGAAATATATAAACCTTAACTGTATTCTTTTCACAAGTGGATACACCCACACAGGCATCACCCCATCAAGATACAGAACATTTATGTCACTCTAGACAGTTCTTTCATGCCCCTTTCCCAGACAGTCCCTGCCCTTCACCTGGAGATACCCAGTGTTCTGATTGTTTTCATCATAGATTAATTTTGCATTTTTTAAAACTTCACAAAATAGAATTGCATAGCATGTACTCTTTTGTGTCCAGCTTTTATAGTTTAGTGTAATTTCCAAGCATTCATGTTGTAGCTTGTTCTGTAGTTTATTTCTTTTTACTGCTGAGTAATATTCTTTTGTATGAATTACCACAATTCAGTTTATCACTTCTTTTGTTGATGGGTCTTTAGGTTGTTTCCAGTTTTAGCTATTGTGACTGAAAGTGCTACATTCTTGTACAAATCTTTGTGTGGACATGTTTTTATATCTCTTGGATAAAAGCCGAGTAGTGGAATTGGTAGGCCAAGTGATACACCTTTTGAAGTTAAAAAAAAAAAAAAGTTCCCCCATATTCTACATAGTTGGAACCTACCTCACTTAATAAAATTACTAATTAAAAATAATGAAATTTGATGTAGAGTATTACTATATACTTTTTTATTAAATTAACTTGATTTAACATCTTTTTTATTTATATAAAAATGTCTTTAAATGCTTTTAATTTAAGGTGTACAACATGATGTTTTCATATACTTAGAAACAGTGAAATGGTTACTATAGTCAAGCAAATTAAAATTTCCATCCTCTCATAAAAAAAGGGTATGTTACTCTCTTTTTTTTTTTGTGGCAAGAGCACCAAAAAATCTACTCTCTTAGCAAATTTCCATTATTCAATACAATATTTATAACTGTAGTCCTCGTGTTTTACCTTAGATCTCTAGGTTTATTCATCCTACATGTCTGCAGCTTTGTGCCCTTTGTCCTCCCTCTCGCCATTTCCTGCCACCCCTGGTAACCACTGTTTTATCCCTTAT